CTGGTGTCTATTGTTCCCTACACTTAGCAGCATTATCTGTGTGCAGGCTTTGATTCCTGCGAGCCTGCCAGGCACACAGTATGCCACTATCGCTTTTAATTTGCGTTTCTCTGATCACCATTTTGTATGCTCACTGACAATTCCAGATAAAATTGCATCGCTGTCTTTACAGATTTTCGATAAGCATAGCTAAGTTGCTCTCCCAGATGTTATAGCAGTTTCCTTTCTTACTTACACTTTGCAGACACTGAATACCTCCGAGAATTAGAAAGGTGGAAGCGGGGCTTTGTTTTTCCTATTCTTTGTTTGAATTTCAAGTATTTTTTTTGTTTGAATTTCAAGTATTTTTTTTAAAAGGGATGCTTGTCTCTTTTGCGTTATTCTATGTAGAAGGTTTATGCAAGAATATTCCAGATATCTAATTTTCAATCTTTAGTTTTTTTTTCAATACAAAGTATCATCAACATTAGGTAGAAAAAGACATATGTTACTTTGTATCAGTTGGGGTTGGGAATGATTATTGTTTGGATTTTTTGTTGAATTTCAGTGCATTAATATCTGCAAAGCTGCTCTTTTAAAAAAAGTGTGTGTGTGTGTGTGTGTGTGTGTGTGTGTGTGTGTGTGTGATTGTATATGCATGCATTCTATGCATGGCAAACATGGAGGTCAGATGACAGCATGTCAGTCCTCTCCTTCTGTCCTTTTTTTTTAATCCAGGGAAGGTCTCTGTTGCTTCTTGCTGCTGTGTTGTGCTCCAGCGAAGGCAGTTCCCGCTTCTGTCTCCATCTCTGTGCAGAAGTGCTTGGGTGACAGGTTCAGTTCACTGCACCACCGCATCCTGCTTTTGCAGTGGACTCGGGGATTTGAACTTATGCTGTTGGGCTTGTGTGACGAACATCTTTGCCGGCTAAGACATCTCTCTAGCCCCTGTCAAGAGACTTCTTGATGCTTGGAGAGAATGAAACAAAGGGAAGCGACTTCCACTTCCAGACAGGGGACATTTCCTCTGTTGATGAGTACAAGTCACTGTCCGTGAGGTGGACAACACACAACTTGGGCAGGTGCAGGGAAGATGCAGAACGGACAGCTTTGTGCTTGGAAGAGTGAGCTCCTGTGGAGTTGATTGGGGTTGTTTTTGCTAGAGGGGTTGTCAACCCACAGGTGCCAGCGGGCACAGAGAGAAGCAAGTAAGCAACAAGTATGAACCAACCAAAGGCTTCTCTGTTGAGTCAATGGATCAAGAAAGTGAAGGGAAAAAACACATTTAGAAACCCTCTTTACTATAGCCTAAAATCACAGCAGAAAGTGTGACAAGGACTGAGTGGGGAGTCAACCTTGACCTTTGCCATCTACAGGGACCCCAATATAACCAGATGAGTGATACCAAAGAAGGCTGGGAAAGGAGCCGGTTTCATTCTCCTTGGATAATAAGTGAGGCCCTTATTTTCCATGGCATCTTTGGAGACCACTTCCTGGACTTCTGTCCCCACACAGCAATAATAGAATGTCCCCTCTCTCTCGATGGATGGAGTCAGAGAGGCCAGAGGGTCAAGATTTATTACCATTCCACAAAAAAGAGCCCCCCCCCCCACATCTCACCCACAATGTGTTGCCAGTGGATGCCACAAGAAAACAGGAGAGGGCTATTTCTACCCCTCCCAGCTAGAGGGGGGCAGCAGAGGCCTAGGGGACTGTGGATGACCAGCAGGAATGAACAGTCGAAGCCCCTTTGGGTTTTAATAGTTTATGTAAGGGGCAAGGGAGCATCTTTCTCAGGAGAACTGAGTCAACTCATATGACCTGTGTGACTTTCAAGACACTCGGGGTCACATTCAGGACACAAAAGAAGTTTAGTGCCATATAGAAGTTGAACACCCCAACATCCAAATTCTGAAATGCTCAAAATCCAGAAAACACTGTGTGCCAACAAGATGTTCAAAACTGTTCAGGTTTTCAGACAGAGGACTGAGATCCAAAATATACAAAGAACTCAAGAAACTTGACACCAAAAGAACAAATAATCCAATAAAAAGGGGCACAGACCTAAACAGAGAACTCTCAACAGACACATCTCAAATGACTGAAAGACACTTAAGGAAATGCTCAACATCCTTAGCCATCAGAGAAATGCAAATCAAAACAACTCTGAGATTCTATCTTACACCTGTAAGAATGACCAAGATCAAAAACACTGATGACAACTTATGCTGGAGAGGATGTGGGGTAAGGGGGACACTCCTGCATTGCTGGTGGGAGTGCAAACTTGGACAGCTGTTTTGGAAATCAGTATGACAATTTCTCAGAAAATTAGGAAACAGTCTACCTCAAGACCCAGCAATATCACTTTTGGGTATATACTCAAAGAATACTCAATCATACCACAAGGATATATGCTCAACTATGTTCAAAACAGTATTATTTGTTATAGCCAGAACTTGGAAACAACATAGATGCCCCTTAACTGAAGAATGGATAAAGAAAATGTGGTACATTTACACAATGGAGTACTACACATCTTGAAATTTGAGAGTAAACAGACAGATCTAGAAAAAAATCATATTGAATGAGGTAACCCAGACCCAGAAAAAATATAATATCTCCTCACTCATAAGTGTCTTTTAGTCATAAAGCAAAGAAAAACCAGCCTACAATTTGCAACCCCAGAGAACCTGGACAGCAAAGAGGGCCCTGAGACGTCCATGGATCTACACAAGAAGGTGAAAAAGGCAAGATCCCCTGAGTAGACTGGGAGCATGGGGGTCACGGGAGGGAGCAGAAGGGGAGAGGGGAGGGAAGAAAGGGAGTGGAGAAAAAAATGTATAGCTCAATGAAAACAATAAAAATAAAGTTTGGGTTTTGGCTGCTGGGCATAATAGAGAAAGCTTTTAATCTCAGAGTCCAGGATGCTGAGGCAAGAGCATCACAGGTTTGAGGCCAAATTAGGCTGCATGGTTTCTGTAAAAGAAAAAAAGTCTTAAAAAAAACCCTCTGAAATATTAAATGCTTCTGATCTTAAGCGGGTTTTGCAGGACCTAACCTGTGTGTGGGTGTGTGTTTGAGTGCAGATACCCATGCAGGCCAGGGATGCCCCCGCCCAGGAGCTGGAGCTACTGGCAGTCGTGAGAGGCTAATGCGGGCACTGGGCCTCTACAAGAGTGGCAAGTGTTTTAGCTGCTGAGCCGTCTCTCCAGAATCCCTGAGCCTAAGCATTTTGAATAAAGGAGAGTTACTTTGAGGTGACTTTTCTCTCAGCCTGATGCTGTTTCTAGTTCGCATGGTCCATGGCCTCGGTGATGCTATCGGATATGACAACTCGGCGTTTGCTACGCTCCCTAACGTGTTAGTTAAACAGCAAACTTTACTCAACCCTGAGTCTAGCCTTCTTTGTCCACTGCTCACTGGCTGAAGGCTGGAGGGGTTCTCATTTTGACGCCATGTAGACCTTTCCAAGGAGCAATTAACATCACAGATTTGGTGGAAAGAACAAAGCAGTACCGAAGTGAGCGGAGACTGAAAACACAGTCTTTCAGGATCGAATCTCAGAAGACCGGCCGTTACCATGTTGACAGCGATCGGAAGGTGCAGCCCTGTACAAACAGGGACAAGGGCTACGCAAGCAGCCCATGATGGGATACAGGGATGGCTGAGAGCTGTTGTCCCGGCAGCGTATCACAGATGGCGGTTTAGATGAGACGTCCTCCAGAGTTTCAGCCTTTGGCTGTTTGCTTCCCAGGTGGTTATGCAGTAGATGGAGGTTTAGAAAAGGAACCCTTGAAGGAGAGCTCCGAGAATTCAAAGACTCGCACCATTTTGAGTTTGCTCTGCTTCCCGCTTGGAGTTGAAACTAAATTGCCATATTTTATATACAGAGCCAGTGATTCAAGACATAATCTTTCTGTTTCTTCCTCTTGCCCCCATGCTGCTGCTTGGTGCCAGGTCTCCTTGCCATGACAAACTCATTCCTCTTGAACTGTCATTCCAAATAAACAGTTTCTACTAAAGGTTTCCTTGGTCGTAGTGTTTTCTCTCAGCAATTGAAAAGCACACCACACAACCCCTATGTCCCAGGAGCTCAGGTGACAGAGCGTTTTATAAACACCGGGAAAGACTGAGCTAGGCGGGGCCAGGCACTGCCAACCAGCTTTACAGCTGGCACACTTTGCTCCTGTGAGAATGTTGCTCATATTTCACAGATGTTGCCCCTCCTCCATCCCAGTCTGAATAATTGCTATAGTAACACAAACTGTAAGCTTAAAATGTTTAGTAAGGGCTTGGAAGACAGTTCAGTGGCAGATTGCCTGCCTGGCACGCGTGAGGCTCTAGGTTCAGTCCCAAGTAGCGCCCATCTCTTGGTACTCATTTGTATTATTTATGTGGTGTCTCCATTTCCTTTCCCACTTTTAGAGCAAGTCTCCACCAAAATATTCCTCTTTATTTAGGTAGGAGACACTTCTATCATAAAGAATTATTTTTCTTAGGGCCAGAACTCAAGCTTGTTATAAGAAAGAAAGAAAACTAGAACATTTTAATATCTTAAGATTAGTGAATTATACTCGTCACATGGATTTACATTAATTTTAATGAGACAAATCTTTATACATAGCTGTGAACAATATGTCCAAAGAAAAAAGGACTAGCAAGTAGTGCATTTGTTGATTTCCTAGGGAGGCTCTTTTGTGCAGTTCCACTCCAGGCCATAGGGGGCAGACCAGACCTTTCTGGCTCTCCATTTTCGTCTCCCCTTCCTTCTCTGTTGGAACTGACCAAGTCAGTACGGAAGGGGGTAGCGATCCCACGTGGGGCAGTCGGCTCGTCCCAGGCTAGCTGTTGTAGGGAATTATGATCCACCGTGGTTAATTACTTCACAGCACACTGAGACAAGCACAGCGCCATGTGCGTGGTGTCTCCCAGGAAACTCCTATGCCGAGCCGGGGCGCACCCATCACTTTCTCCTCCCCCGTCGGCCGGCGAAGGTGTGGTCGGCTCCGCCTCGCTAGACCGGAAGCCGCCGCAGGCTGCGCGCGCCACTCTGCCGGGCGTCCCGAGCCGGGGCCGGGGTGTGCTGCCCGCCAGCTCCGCGTCCGTGCCCATGGGTCTCCATGGCGACGGCGGGGCCCCGGCAGCCGGAGCGGGGCCGCGGCGCTCCGGGGGCCTCCGCGGCAGCGTGGCCGTGTTCGCCGCCGTGGCTGCTGTGTTCACCGTCACGCTGCCCCGCTCGCTGCCGGGGGGAGACTCGGGTAAAGTACTCGCAGGCCGCGCTCCTCCCAGCCCCCTGTCCCCATCGCGGGGCTCAGTGCAGGGTTCCGAGTTCCAGAACTCTTTCGGGTTCTGGATCTTTGGCCTCTTGTGTTCTAGAGCTGTCCCGCTTCCGTGACTTTCAGCTGATTAAACTTAACACCTGTCCACTTGCCGCCGATCACTTTTACTTTCCGTTCTTTTTTGGTCCGTAAATATTACCTCTCAGCCCTTAAAGTGTTACGAAAAGACCGACAGTAGTGAACAAACAGCTAAAGCGTTCTAATGTACTTAGACAGGACACGAAGAGTTACTAAACAAACTATATCGTTAGTGGCGATGGATTTCGGCGGCACTAAGAAAATGTGCCACTTAGAGTGACAGTGTGTAGTGGGATCTTCAGAAGATCAGAAAAAACCTCCCAGGAAGTTATGATAGCTAGAACCTGACTATTAACAGGGGAACTCTTAAAAGGGGGGCCGAGCTCAGCTTAAAGCACCCCTCTGTGGGAAAAGAAAAGCTTGTCTCACACAAATGAAGACTGGGCATAATTGTTACATATTTGAGTTTAGAAACAAAATTCCTGGTTTGTTTTACAGTCAGATCAAGTGACCAGTAATTCCTCAAAATAACCAGCTGTGTTTCAGAATGGTGCCATAACAATAGTGATTCCAATTCCTGGAGAACCCATGAGTTCACTATCTGATAAGTTTACCCAAGTTCGGTGACTGAAACGGGATACATTTATCGTCTCCCAGCCTGGGGATCAGTAGCTCTCTCACTGGTGTGGGCCCGAGTGGCAGACCTCTTGGCCCTGTTGGGGGGCGTCTACTTCTAAACTCAGTCTAGTTCTGTGCTGTGTGGCTCTCTCCGCCAGATAGCTGATTCCCGTCAAAAGGAAGAGATAGAGCGTTCTGTCTGACATTCTGTCTGCCATTTAGAAACCTAATCCTGGAAGTGCTATGCCACTGCCCTGTTTTATTTGAGGGAGTCAGTAAATCTAGACCAGTTCAAAAGGAGAGGATTACACGGCCAGAAAGCCAGGAGATGGGGATTACCGGGACTGGCTTCAAGATTGCCTGCCACGGGAAGAGTCCTTGATGCTCCATTTTCAGGCCGTCTCCTCTTTCCGCTTCCACTGAGCAGTTACTGGGGATTGTGTTTGGGAATGGAGTTACCAGCTTTCCAAGATTAATATTAAATAGTGAAGTAGTTTCAGGGTGGCAAGAGGCTTGGTACTGGAGTGTTATTTAGAGGTTAGATAACTGTACCCAGTAAAGAATATCTTCACAGCTTATGGTTGGCAGAGCCACAGACGTAGAATGAGCAGCGTAGTAACACTGCATTTCCTGTGTGCACTCACCGTTCTAAGTGCCTTTTAGGGGTTTTCCCTTCCAGCCGCGCTAGGAGGTAGGTGCTCTTCTCTTATTTTGTAGGTGAGTGAAATAAGGCTAACCAAAGTCACAGTGAGTGAGGGTCATCCAAAAACCCTAAGCATATTGACTCTAGAACATTCTCTCTTTATGCTGACTCAGAAGAATTTTGGGGCACTGTTAAATTCTCCATCACACATAGTGATAATCTTTTTAAATTGTTTCCTTCTTTCATAATTCTGTATTTCATGTGTTACCCAGAGAACAAAGTGGTGTATTCATCAGAGTTAGCAGATTTCTTACATGTGCTGATGTTTTGTGATCATTTTCGGGACTCATCAGTGAGCTATTTTCAACCATATACCAATGTGGAAATTTTGTTTAAGCTTACCTTTGATCTTGTTGTTTCTGGGTTGAATATACTTGAATGTTTATGAAATATATATTCTGCCAATAAACAGAGCACGTCTCAAAACCAAATAAAGCATGTGTTCTTCCTGATGTGTCTTAAGTTTTACTCGGTGGAACAACCGCATTATATGGCATTTCACTACTAGGTGTGGTTATTCATCCACGGATAGTTCTCATGATCCTTGAGAGAAAGAATTAACTTACAGATGGATTTATATATGTTAAAATGGGCGATGTACGGGCATATGCACACTTGAAGCATTTACAGACAGCTCTGGGCTTGCGCCTAGTTTGCATCCGGGACAGCAAAGCTTTGTGTCTCAAACCGGAATACACTGAGAATTGCCCGGCAAGTTTGGGTGGTAATGTCAGAAAACCTTCAGGAAGTTTTGTTCTGATACAAATGGCCCTTTAATTTAACGGAGGAAGTGCCACTGACAAGGGCTGGGAGGTGCTGAGTTTAGTACTCCACTGCCCTCTTCTGTGTTTCCCCTCCCTGAGGAGCATTTCTTTTGCTCTTGACCGTGGATACTTTATAGATTTTGAACAGTGGCAGATTTTTGCTTGGATTGGACATTGCCAAGAATTGATAGAATTTTAGCAACAGAATTCCAGGGGTAAAAATACAGATTTATTTGTTTATTGTCAAGAAGCAGAGGAATGGTATTAATGTTAAAATGTAGTTTGGATGCAGTCTGGATGGGAGAGAATGGTGACCTTGAAAGCTGGAGCTACGGTAGGTATACTTTGTCCCACAGAGCTAAGTCATGGAGTAAAACTGTAAGATCCTGTCTTTGAGTAGTTACAAAGGAAAGAGTTATACACATTTTTTTTAAACTAAACAATTTCTCTAAAAGAAGTGTTCAAAATACGAAAGATACTTCCGTTTCTGAGGTGCCAATATCAGTAATTGACCTAAGTAAGCAGTATTTGGTCATCCCTAGGGGCCTCTGTGAAACAGTCATTGGCTGGAGAAAAAGGCTTCTGAGTAGTAAGGATGGCAGTGCGGTATGCATTCACCTCTGTGTGCTTAGTTTGTGTTTGAGTCTTTGTGGGTAGCCAGAGAGGGCACAGGTGGTGTTTTCTGGGTGGAGTCCTGGGAGGACTCTGATGTTTTTAGACTTGGTGAAACAGAGAAATGAAAGCAATTAGCCAGAATATTCTCCTCTGTAGGAAGCTGCCAGAGTTTCCGGCATGCTCTGTGGAGGAGAGGAAGTGGCTAACTGGCAGAGGATGCTGGACTGGAGGTGCTTAAGGGAAGGTGTTATTCCTAAGTGGCAATTGAACTGGGCCCTGACAGATTTAGGGAAGGAAAGTGGAGAAATGGTCCAGGTGAGGAGATGAGTGACGCAGGTGTCAAAAAGGCCACCCAGTGGAACGCTGGTGTTCAGATTCGGAGAGCGCAGGTAGTGTGGGAACAAGGCTGCCCAAGGGACCTCAAAGCCATCGGCCTGACTGTAGAAGCGCTTATTCTTGCTGAGATAGCTGGGTTTAATTACTAACAGCAGCCATTGGGAAATTATAGACTAGGGATAGGACCCAGCTTCCTGACTTTGTATAATTTCAGGGAAGGGCGTTGCAGTCAAGAATAGTTTGGGAACAAAGATACATCGAAGTAGATTAGTTAAGTCCTGCTGTAGTCCAGGCCAGGGAAGGTGGAGGTCTACTTTGTAACTAGGACAGTAGAAATTAAAGGCAGAGTTGGTATCTGTTAAGGAACAGAACACATACACTAGTGCCTTTCCTAATGAGCAGAAGTAACCACAAGTCCCTATTCCAGACTGTGCTGTGCTGCTGTGCCCGCGCTGTGCCGAGTTAGCAGACAGATGTGCCCGAGGTACAGAAGCAGATGTCAGGTTACTGTGCTGTAAGCTTAGAAAGAATCGCGAGCACTGAGGAGCTACGTGTAAAGACAAGAATGATGTGCTTTAAAACACTAGCTTGTAAGAGAGCGCACCAAAACAGTGCAGACTGTTTAAAGATAGCTACGTTTCAAATGCCAGCATTCGGGTAACGTGGCACATTTGACAATGTCCAAACCCCAAACCTCTGCACACATTTTATCAGACACCTGCATCTTTTTTGTTGTTGCTGTTAGGAGGGGACAATCTCACCAGGTTGCCTATACTAGCCTTGGGTTTGTGACAATCCTCCTGCCAGGCCCAAACCATTGTCACCCCTCTTCATGATTACATGTTTAGAAGCCAGGCCATGTTCTGGAGAGACCACAGTGTATCACATTCATGATACATGTGCTCTGTCCATGTGTCTGTATATTTGCAAGGAAATATAGTTTTCTGGAGGAAAAATTATTTTTTCATGAGAATTCACCTGTATTTCCACTGACCAGTTACTTAAAGCTATGGAAGATAGTTTGTTAATAAGACCTAAGGGAGAAAGGACTCTTAGACTGTTTCATGCTGCTAAGTCTCCCCAGATTTACAGTTTTATCCAGTCAAATTAATGCAAAACCCCAATGCAAGCATCCGGATTTTGGAAACTTTGGAGGAGTGTCATTCTGTAATAGTAATTATTGGTTTTACATTATTTTTTCACAGGGGAACTGATCACAGCTGCACATGAGCTTGGAGTAAGTATTAGTTTTATTGTTTAATCAATGCTCTCATTAACAGTTTTAGGAATTAAGAAAGTTTAATTAAGCATGGAATAAAGTAGATTAATTTATTTTCAAGCCCTAGTTTTTAGTAACTTATAAGTACAGTACATGACAATTTACTTTAAGTTTTAAATCCAATTAACTGAAATTATAAAGCAAAAGCCTTTACTATATATACAGTAGCTGGCTTATTATCATCCCAAATTTTGTATAAGCTGTGGAGAATAAATCGGGTTAACAATTTTAATAAGTTTATTATTTAATAAACTTTATTATGGTGTGTGATCCCTTTAGTCAAGACCTTACAACTGTCAGCATGGTGGTAATCCGATAGCAGTGTGGTCTTTCAACTCTCACCAAGACAGTGTTTCGGGACCTGCCTGCTGTCAGTAACCTTTTCAGTGACCCAAATGTACTGCAAACCTAAAGCACAGACTCCTTAAGAACTGGCAGTGGAATATGTCACCCTCTCTTTAGGTGATGGACCATGTGATAGGCACACCCGATCCACTAAAGAAAACAGCTGTATTGGCACAAGAAGAAGACAGTAGGAAGCCACGATCTAGACGTTTGGTCGTGGGGCATAGTGCTCATGCTTGCCTGAGAACAGAGCTACTGTACAGTGTTACAGCCAGGGTGACACATCTTCCCAGACGAGAACGGCTCATGTTGCTTCTGTTCTCCATAGGTCGCCCATCCTCCCGGCTATCCTTTGTTCACTCTGGTGGCCAGCCTGGCCATCACACTCTTCCCGTTTGGTTCTGTTGCCTACCGCGTCAATCTTCTCTGTGGCTTATTTGGAGCGGTGGCTGCTTCGCTCCTTTTTTTCACAGTTTTCAGGTAAAGTAGTTGACTAGTTAGTTTTGAGAATTGGAGATATGGGCTCCTCATGGCCAGTTACATGCTTTTGTAACATCTTCTGTTGCTTGAGTGGCTTCCCTAAGTCACATTAGATCACTGTATGATGGGAATTTCATAAACCTCAGATGTTTACACAGTGGGGTGAAGGTGTCACCGGTCCGTTGTCACAGTTCCCTGCTCAGGCAGGACTAATGAGGACTGTCATTTTACAAAGAAGAGGGTGGGCTGACTTAGCGGCACATAGCTTGTCTTTTGTAGATGGTAAATTCACTTAATTACTCAGCATCCTGCAGACCTGATTATATTCTAAATAAGAGCGCATTGTATGCTTGTGGACACCGGGCGGTCACATTTGCAGTATGGTGTGAGAGCTGATTATATTAGAGATATGAACATAACTGCCTGCTTGAGGAAAGCAGGCTGTCACATTTGGGGTGTGGCTTTAGTGAGGTTTCTCTGTCCCGCTGTAGCCCTAGGCAAGGAAGACACTCTAGATCCACTGACTCCGTGATGAAGATGGTCCTAGTTGGAAGCTACTGTGTTTTAGTAGACTGGTCACTGATTTAGGACATCGGCGAACTCCTTTGCCTCTGACGTTTCTGTCTCCGTTCTTAACTTAGTCCACACCTATTTCTGAAGAGGATAACACCAAAAAATACAAACTGTACTTTGTAGAAAAATGGGAAAAACAAAATTCTGTATCCAAAAGCTTTTGCAAGCTTTTCTTAAGTAAAAATAAATTATGTAAATATAGTATAATTTGAGTAGATTCCATTTCCAATTTTAATTTCGCCAACTCCCATTTTTGGTATAATAGTCATAGTATTGCCCTTTAAATTCTTTCTAAGCTTCTTTTGAATCACTTACAGAAGTGGAAAGGCTAACATAATAACTCGAACATTTACTTTTAAATCTATTTGCGGAAAGGATTCAGAATCAACTATTATAGTTTTGATAATTTACTAAATTTTATCCTTATCACTCGATGTGTTTCTATTTAATCTGACATATTTTCATTGAGAGTCAATCCTTTAATAGTCAGTGTTAAAAACAAGGTCCTGCCCGGGCTACTTATTGTTATAAATATATTTTCTAAAAGCTTGAAATAATTTTGATTAAAACTATTTCTTCTGAATCTTCTGTGGCTAAATATCTGCCAGTTTCCATTAAGATAAAAACTTATTTTTTATTTCTAAGTATCTGGGTTGAAATTTGGAACTTAACCTGTTCAATATTGAAGACTTGAATTATTAATTTTCACAAGAGACTTTAAGATAGGCACTTCAGCGCTATGAATTGTGTGTGCGCGCACTCTGAGTCTGGTAAGGCCATCGGTGCTCTGAAACTTCATATTTTCTCAGTATTGTTGATGGCACTCCACAGAGAACTACTATTTTTAAAAATCATATAAAAATATCTTTCAAATCCAAATAGTTTTAGACAATAATTTTTCTTTGGTTATCCAGTTTGAAAATAGGTTTTATTGCTGATTGTGCTTGATTATCAACTTTAGATGAGCACATCGGCATGTGACTTTGACTTCATACAGCACTGATGGCAATCATCTCCCTGGCTGACGCTGAGAATCAGAGTTCTAATACTACTAAAATGGCTATGTGCACGGTCTTACTAATATAGTACTTCAGGAAAGTTATTTTCTCCCTGAGAAAGAATCTAACAGCATTATTGCTCACGCGCACTTTAATATAAAATTACTTCATTATTTTCAATACAAATAACTGACAAGGTACACGTCCTTTGGGAACAGCCCAGTTCAAGTGGCAAATCTGTTTTGTCAAACAATAGACACCCTTCAGAAAGGAGAAGCCATCTCTATGGTAATAGGACTAACAGTAGCCTATTGATTGAGTGGAAGAAGACATTATACAATGTCAGCTGGCTTGTTACAATTTCATTTGTTGTGTGACCTGAACTTGACCTCTGAAACCTTCTTCTGTGAATGTAAACCCAGCAGCAGGCGAGCTTCATGCAGCCATGGCAGTGGTGGCTTTCCCAGCCCTGGCATATGGTAATATATTCCTGTACAGGCTGCCTCCTTTTCAGTTTGTTTAGGAGACATTGCACGGCTTTGTTCATTTACAGACCAAATCATCGTTCCGTTTCGGTGCTGAAGCAGCTTGGTTCTTTCTTTCTCCCATCACTTAGAACATTACTGCACATGTAGGGTTAGAGCTGACTGGTGTGCAGTAGATTAATTCTTTTTCAGGTAATGTGCACATAGCATTCACTGTAGTTAGCTCTCGGGGTGGACATAAAGACCTTCTGTACCTTTTAAACAAAGATTGTGTTTCAGAAGCAAATTTCTGTTTAAATGTATTGATGTAAAAAACTCCATTTCTTTCAGTAAACATGACTTAGATTGAAAGAACAACTTATTCGTTGTTTCCAATTACTATGTAATTTTTTACTTTTCTTGTATTCTTCTCTTGCTTTTAAAAGCCGTAAGATGTCATTAACACTACACTTTTTCTCAGTCTCTTAATGTTGGCAGGAACTCCATTTTACTTGATTTGCTCTGATACAGAAAGTGTCTGAGTGAGCTAGCACACAGAAAGCAGTGTGCGTTGCAGCTCCCTGAGCTGACATGGAAGGGTGTGGCCCTCTGGAACAGTGTTCCCTCTGGGGCGGTGAGAGCCTGGGTTTGTTAGAGGAGCTACTCTTTCATGTCTGTGAGATAATACTCAGTTCATCTCTCTATCTTTATGTTAAGGCTTTGGAATTAAGTTAGTGTTTTAAAAGAGCAATGATTCTTCATTTAAGGCCATTGAAGTAAATCACTTTTAAATTTGTTAATATGTAATTTAAAGTATTCTTATTGGTAATTCATAGATGCTATATATAAAATTTTAAGAAGTTGTATGTAATTTAAATCATAAATATGAATACCATCTACTTGCTTACTATTTGAATTTCAAAGTTATCTTCCAGGAAGCATCAAACTAGATCCTATTGTAGCAAATCAGGAAGAATGCTAAAGTCACCGTCAAACACATGTCCTAGGTGCTGCTGTCGCTCACTGACAGCAGCGATAATAGCGCTGTACCTCAGGAAGGTTTAGCTGTTTACAGTCTCCGGGGAGGGCACGTCTTTTATCATTTGGTAGAGGAGGTACAAGGTAAGGAATGCATTCTCGATAGCCTTGAAAGTCAGCAATGGAGGATGAGGATGAAGATGAGGATGAGGAGGATTTCCAACTCTCCACGCCCCAGTGTTTCTTAGGCACCCAATGAGAACTGAAAACAAAACTCACTGTTAAAGAAAGCACGACAAACCACCCAGTAAATAAGCAGATTCTCGGGGATTCTGGAAGTCCCTGCTCTGGACCATTAGCACTGTGTGGTAGGAAGCCAGATCTCTCCGGGCCAAATGTGCAGACTATGTGTCTATAATCAGTGGTGTGTTAGAGCTCCAGAGAAATTGCCATCAATTGCAGCAATAACACTTGAATATCTTCTGACAGGTTATTTTGCGCCCATGTTTTATGCATGGACTTTTTTCTTTTATATATTATGTGTTTCTGAACGTTAATTCACTGCTAAAAATTAATTTGATTATAGTTCTGAAAGTGCTTATTCTGAGCAATGTGTCTGCTGTTCTTACAGCTCCCATTAAGATTCCACTCAATAAGGAATAAAACATTAAAACGCCATACCTTGGAGAATGCGGAATCTCCTGCTTAAGGGACATTTGGGTTTTCCAGCTCAAGAGTGTTTTAGATTATTGCCAGAGAGAATAATGGAAGCGCTTCGTAATTTCCGAAGTAACCGTGCATAAGTAACAAGTCGTCACGAGCTTCCGTGCTAAAGAAGAATGGGAAGTACCAGGCATTCATTGCCATTCAGGGGAATATCTGTCTTGATCCCTGGTTAATTGATCATATATTTTTCTCATACTTGTATTAAAATTGCATTGACTCAGGCTGGTTAAGCATATTAAGAGCCCGGTTCATTTGCATTTTCTTATAAGTTGAGGGACATATTAGGCTCAAATAGCAGTGCTTCATTTTGAAGGGAGAAAAGCAGGGCAAAACTCTTTTAAGACTGTAGAGTCTTTCTGACAGCTAGTCAGAGTTAGAATTAGTTCAAGGAGATGTTAATAATGCACTGCCTGGCCTAATCCCTTTGATATCACCAGGTACCCTCCTGTTCATGGGTTAATTGCTTTAAAAGCGAAGGCAATATTCTGAGCGGTGGGCCGCTTCACCTTTTCACAGCTGTTACCATTGAGTGACAACTAAATCCCATGTGTAAGATGAGGAAGAGCTCAATCTCCAATTGGGAGAAAATTTATGTAAACCGCAATCCCTTCAGAATGTGCGGAAGTCATAGACTTTCTTGATTTACTCTGCTTTTCCCAGAAAGCTCTATTGTTCACTTTCCTAAGTCCCATCAACCCTTTGTAGCAGAATATCACAGCGGCAGCAGATAGCTTGAAATATATAAATGCTATCATAGCTCTGATTAATAGCAGTGCTTATGAGTCAAGCCTGATAACAGTGCAGCTCTCCACTCAATTTCAGATACTGCTAATGGAATCTGTCTTCTCCAATTGTAATATGAGAAGGCCTAATTTGCCATGGAGCTTGGAGCTGTCACCAGTAGGGGATTGTGGGGTCAGATGGGAGCTGCCAGGTTTTTGCCCTGCAGCTTGTATCTCTCACTTTGAATAGAGCAGCCCCCTGCCTGCCAGTTAGCTGATAGGCCGCCGTGGGGCTTATGCCACTATGTACAATAGGCAAGGGCTACATAGGCTGACTTCATAATTGTGAAACTAGCTCATATTTCCACAGCTACTGTGCTGCATAATTTCTAATAAGTGGTTTTAACAAATGTCAGATTATGAAAAGTTTCCTCAATTACAAAAACTTAGAAAACATTTAAATTGCTAAATCTGTTTCCTGCCGAGATTCTTGCTACTGGAACTAGTCATCAGTTATTACTGCTGGACTAATAAATTTG